GAGAGTTGATGTGGGCCTGGGAAAGCAGGGTGGGCACACACACTGCAGCTCCACCAGTTTGCTTTGGCACCGGGATGAAATGCTACATCACACTTCCAGATTACATGTGGCTCTCACACATGCACAGACGCGAGGAGATTCGTACGCACACTAACGCGCACTCCCTTGGCCTCGGGCAGCCGCGGAGCATCCAGCATTTTAACCCGGCTGACATTAAGCGCTGTTATTTGACACTTTGCTGTCCTGAACGTTTGTTTAACCGCGCTTCATTCTTGCCAGGAAGCCTTTATGGGTGGCTTTGCCGAATGAGAACTGCATCAGTCCCTTGCGGGTTGGCCACGAACCAAAGCTGCAATACTGACAGAGGGAATAAAAGCAAAGAGCAAAGCTTACAGTCAAAGTGACCAAATCCTGCTGTCCTAAAGGGCCTGCTTCAAATTCTTAAAGCGCGCGCACCCCACCAAAACAGAATTCAGAGGTCTAATGTTATGTTTGTTGGCCTCGCCATACCATAACTCTCGTGTCTCACGCTAACTACCCCAGAGGCATGATTTTAAAAACAACATTCTGCGGCTGTGTAATTATTTGAAAGCACAGGAGGTTTCTTTAAAAAAAAAAAAAAAAAAAAAAAATCACTTTCTTTTGCTCACCAACCCCCACGCCCCCTCAACAAGCACACATACAAACAAAAGTAACTGAAGCATCGTTTCCCCCTTTGCCTCCATGGCAAAGGCAGCGGAGGTCACTTAGTGAAATTAGGAAAATGGAACAAACATACATCCTTAGCCATCTATATTTAGCATCTTACTAAGATTCATTTCATAATGGCCTCTACAGTCAGATTATAATAATAATAATTAAAAAAAAAAAAAAGTTCAGCTGACCATGTTGTACCAGTTTAAGGTACCAAGTGCTCTGGTGATGTTAGCTTTTCATTTCAAAATAAAAGCACACAAACGTTGCTCATCTGTGAAATCAGTCGCTGATGCATCTTCACGCATACTGTGCCATGCTTTCATGTGTGGGATGTTTAAGAATGAGGTCATTTCTAACAAGTAAGTTTCTAAAAAGTGTCTTGATGAATCTGCTCCATGACTGGAACGCGGGCCTGACCTCTGCTTGGCCTTGGCGGAGGTGAAGGCGGAGGAGGACGAGGAGGAGGGGTGCTGTGAAAGGATGGAGGCCTATTTTGAAATTCTAATAAGGATTGAATAACCATCTGCCCCTTGTCAGTGAGAGAAATGAAAAGGTGGAAAAAGAGATATAAAAAAAAAAAAAGAGGAAAAAAAAGCGGCGAATTTGCGCTTCTGTGGTCTTTCAGAGTTTCCAGCTCTGAAAGCTTCATCAGAGTAATGGTTCTGAGCATGTGTTGCTGGCCGGCCTCTAGCTTTGACACCACTGCTGGATCACACTGCTCTCCCTAAGAAACCCATCTGTCAATGTCCCCCTAATTCCAGCTAATAGTTTCCAAAAAACATAAGCTGAGCCCACAAAAAGCCACAAGCCCCCTGAAAAGCTTGAGAGGGTTTGTGACAAGACTCGCAAAAATCTGTCCGTTCTGCTTCTCCTTCCTCTTCCGCTGTAAAAGTCACATTTTAATAAGACCACTGTTTCATTAGTGAAGCAGACATGATCTAATAGCATCTACGTATTATATAACAGCTAATAACTTTTTTCAGAGGTAATAACTAATTTGTGGGATTTCCTTCAGGTGATGACATGGCCTGAGGTATAACGAGAGTCTACAGTGAAAAGGTCTTTGACTGATTGGTTGTTTAATTTCAAAATTAAACCCTCTTGTGCAAAAAAAAAAAAAAGAAAAAAGAAAAAAAAAGAAGAATACCATATCATTCATTCCCTCCGTGGACCCAGTGTGTCAAATTTCCTACTCAAAACATTCAACACCATGCCCAAAAGACGTCAGCAGAGCAGAAACACTCGGCTTTCGCTGCTAACCGCAGCTCACCTGCATTTCTGGTAAATCAGACGAAACAGCAGTTCAATCAGTCTTTAAATGACTTCCCTGTTTAATGCATACCAGCGCGCCTGGCTCAACACTGGAAGCAGATCTGGCTCGGTGGGCCACTGGGGGATGGATGGTGTCTGGCCCCGAGCTCGCAGCGTCCCAGCAGTGCTCTGGACTTCCTGCAGGTTGAGTACAAATGAGGGAGAGGAAGGGCTGGAGAATAGAGCAGCTTGTTGTTGCAGCCAAACAGGGCCGAGACGGCTGTGGACCCAGCCAAGAACAGAGAGCTACGAGACCATAAATTATCATCTACTCAGGATGCCACATTGTCGTTGACTCCACAAGAGGGCTCTTCATCTTACGGTGCGACTTTGGCAGATTCAATTTATGGCATGATCTAGTGTCTCATATTTTTAAGTTAACATAAAGTATTTACATTACGAGACCGGCCACGCCAGCAGAAAAGCCTACACTCCATCACAACCACTAACCAAATAGCTCTTATCCATCTGTTTCCTTATTCTCTCCTGTGGCTCGGACGCAGAGCAGATAAATCACAGATTTTTCCATCATGTCTCCCTCAATACAAACAGACACAATCCTTTACGAGGCTGCCCTCTCCGACTACTACAGCAGGGATTTGTAAACCAATGTCTCGAGGCAGGATTCATAGAGAGGGAGGCGGCAGATGGGCGTGTGTGCGCATGGCTTGTGTCTGGAGACGCTATGCGAGTTTGCCAAGAGCACAGACAGAAATCCTGGTGCGGGGCATGTCGAACATTTAGCAAAACCCAAGTTCTGTTGGAGGCGATGTTCACGTTGTGCATGTTAAGATTTAAGTCAAGGCCGATAAGACCAAAACCTTGCACAACATTTAAAAGGAACTTGAAAGGGTAAAAAAAAAAAAAAAAAAAAAAATCAGCCAAGAGGCACATAATTTCTCAAGAGCCGACTCGGCTTCAGTGGCAGGGTGCAAAACAGCTTTTGATGTGGCTCCAAATCTGCCCACTCTGAATTCCTCATTACCCACAAACCACCTCCCAATCAGCTTAACTCCGTCACCCCTGCACGGAGGATCGTGACCTTTCAGACTCTCCCTCCAAACCCAAACAACCCCAGGACCTCTTATGACACCTAAGGGACTCCTCCACTATGTAACTTACCACTCTTACCCCCCCAATCAGTTTGTGTAACGTCTCAAAAAGAAAAGCAAGCAGAGAAATCGACAAGGCACGGCAGCATATTTTTTTCTTAAGGGGCTTTATTTATACACTGAGAAGCCTCTTTAAAAGGCCCTCCTGCTACTTTAAGAATATTTTGGAAGTGGTTTCAGTGGAATAGGCTGTAAAAAAAGAAGAAAAAAAAGCTTGTGGAACGTGAAATTAGGGACAACTGGGACTGGTTTGTTGGCAAATCAGGATGTGTGATCAGGTATAGCGTGCGACTAGCAAAGACCTTTAACTGCCCTGTATCAACACCGGGATTAGGTCATCGTAGTTGGCCCGTGGAGCCGGGCTGTTTAGGCCAGAACTTCTGGGTAAAAGTGACATATCAATCCCACAGAGATGAGATCTACGGAAAGCGGGCGTAACACTTCACAAACGGCTACGGGACATTTGAAAGAGGGCGTGCGCAAAAGTACGAGGGCGAAATCACCCAGGGATTGACAGGATATTGTTACAGAAAGGGGTTAGGTGTATGTGTGCCTGCATCTGTGAGCCGAGAAAGCGAGGGCGTCGAGGAGGAAAAGCCAAAAGTAAGGTTGAAATCTCCCGTGTCAGTTCTAAGTCCAGTCTAAGGCTAGAACGGCCTCGCTTCTCTGGCTCTGTCACTCTCTGTCCCCTTTAAACAGATCTGGCTCTGTTCAATGCTAAATATGAACTCAGGCCAGCTCACAGGGCAATTACAACATGTTAGAAAAATATACTGAGTTTTTCAATGTTCTGCTCCTGTTTCTCCCCCCTCCTTCTCTGGCTGTAATTTTATTTCATAAAGGTTAAAGCAGGGACAGTGGTTTCTAATATGGTTTTATTTTGCTACGCTAACACATTTTTATGACAAGCAAAATTGACCTGAATTGAGTTCAACGTAAGTCTATTCACACCAACAGATATATATATATAAAAACCACCAAAGAAACAGCCACACATTAGAGGATGAATCCTGATAAAAACACTAATGTGACATGTAAGCAAGACCTTTGTACAGCCATAAAATTGGTGTCATAGAAAGGCCTAATCCTATACAAAGGTAATCCACAAATTGCCACAGAAATTGCCATGATTTTTCTTGGCATGCTTTCAGAGCATGTCTGGATGACTTTTACTGAGTGTGTCGTGAGGTGACGGCAAACGCTGCCAAATAACATTCTTGGATGTCTTAGCCGTAGCCGTGTGCCAATGAGTCGAGCTGTTGTCATCCACTGTTTAGACTTGCTTGTGCAAAACAATTTTTTCCTTTTTTAAATAGACAAGTTCAGGATGTAGTTGAGTGCAGTAGCCCTGTTTTTCTCTACTGGAACAGTAAATGCAAGAGGCTGATGAGAAATGAAAGGAACGTATGGGCTTGTGTTTTGAGAGACATTGCCAAAGTTGTCAGCGCACAACTCTTCACCTGTATAAACAACATAATGTTCTGGCAACATCATTAATTACTCTTATGACAGTCAAACACGGGTCTTCCAAGTCATATTTATCCTTTTCTACAGCTCGCTCTTTCTCTGTGTTGCTTCTGTATAAAATCATTTTTGGTGCCCTCTCAGTTCAGCTCACGTCCTGAAAATAACTGTGCCGTGAAAAGACGCAACAAAATAAACAAACATTGAAGACATGCAATCAGAACTTTAGATGCAGCCACTGTTACACTGATTTTTGCGCCACAGTGTTGTTCAAATTCAGACTTTTTTATGATTGTCTGCAACCTCAAGTAATGATCCCATGCAATATCCAGATTATATCCACGAGATATTTAGAGCAGAAAAACTAAAACATTGTTAAAAGCACATAACGGATGACAGATAAGAAGAGAGACTTACGCAGACATTCATTGGCCTCGCGAGCATTGGCCCTCTGCCAAGGTCGGTCATAGTGAAAGGGCTTGCAGCGGTCACATTCAGGTCCCTCCGTGTTGTGTTTGCAGTCACACACCAGTTTACCTTCCTTGTCTTTCAGACAGCGTGAGGCATGGCCGTTGCACTTACACCTCCCGCCCACCTGGAAGTCTCCCACTGCATAGAAATAAGTTGGGAGTGTTGATGTCACTGCCATGGGGTCATCATCCCTCCCTCCAGTGTTGCCTCCGGCCCCTAGTACCAACTCCCGGGGCATCTGCGGCCGGCTAAAGACCACACGGATATCAGTGACGGTGACCCAGTCCTGAAGAACTGGGCTGTTGTCAAAATCTTTACCAGAAGGCCGTCCATCCAGAGTGCTGAAAGCTATAAGCCCTCCAGACAGTGGGTAAAGGTCAGTGTGACCATCTGTGCAAAGAGCTTCCTGCTCATTCTGCTTGGTGATGGTTGCTTTGTTGGGTCGGTTGTACATGCGGCGGCACTGCGAGGAGTAGAACTGGTAGGGCATCCAGCTTTTGCCATAGTCCATGCTTTTGTATATGGCCAGGGACTCGGGTCGTGGTGAACAAAACTGCAGGCTGACGTAGGTAATCTCAAATTTTTTACCCAGCGAAAGGGTGAGAGTCACATTGTACGGAGAGGTGTTCAGATTCTCCGACTGCCAGCAGGTGAGGTTGTGGGCCGAGTTGAGGTCGGTGAGGTAGGAAGCCGGGTGGGCACGGCGAGGGTCGGCTGCGTCACAGATTTGGCATGTGCGTACAGAAGGCCGCTCGTCGCCCCGCTCCACCACGCTACAGGAACGGGAGGGAGGTCGGCCACAAACGCTGGAAACCATCACCTCCTTGCCGAAGGCAGCATTGATAAACTCAGGGATACACCGGCGTGCTGCACCGGTGTCATCATAGCAGGGGTCTGGAGGAGTCTGCTGTCCTGTGAAGGGATTAGCGGCACTGTGGGTGAAGGTTGAGCATGCCAGGAGGCACAGGCCCAGCAGGTACCTCCAAGGTTCCCTCATCCTGCTCAAGGGGCCTGTGTTTGGATGTCTATGTGCAAGGATGAGGGTATGTGTGTTTTCCCAAGTGTGTAAACTGAGTTTCTGTGTCGTTGCACTGATGTGTCAGTGTGTGACTCCCCCCCCGTGAGTGTGTAATTTGTGAGTCAGTGGAAGAAGAGTGTCTGAGCTCAGTGACCCTTCGCTTCAGGCTGACCAGAGCCTTTCCTGTAAGAGAGAGAAATAAACACAAGGGTCAATGCCATCGACATATTTTACCATAACAGGATAGAAAATGGAAAGTGGCATTGATGTACTGCATAAAAAACAAGCAAACAAAAAACCCAATGTTGTGTATCTTTAAAACCAAATTATACTTCCCCTTATAAAGGAAATTAAATAAAATCTTTTACGTTGTACGGCCACAAGTGAATGTTTTCATTGAAAGCCTGTCAAAGGATCAGACAGATGAGGGAATGTGACCATTTAAAGAGAGACATAAGTGGCTGCAAGTAGCTGCATCCTGAATTTCAATGCCGGCCTCTCATTCACTACTCGAGTCCTACGCTATTCAGGTCAAAACTGGCCAAGCCTTCTGGTCATGCTTGAGCAGCATGGCAGAAGTCACCCCATAATCCCTGGTGGTGCGGCAGAGCAGTGAACCGTGTGTGACCCTGGTCAAAGCACTGCTGCAAGCGTTGGTCCTAGAAGGAAAAAAAAAAAAAAAAAAAAAAGATTCTACATACGAAGACCAGGCTGTAGTTACTTGCTAATTTTTGAGGAATTTTACAGGAAATCAACCGTTGCAACGCTATTGTGACACAGTGCTGACCGCAAAGAAGGCAGCGTTGTGTTTATTCGCTGAACCAGAAAATTCACCAAAAGTGATGGGTATTTGAGAAATGAACTCCACTTTAAAAGAACTTAGTCTGTGAGACACTGAGGCCTTTCTAAATCTATGGGTCAAGACAGGTACCTGGCTGGCTTCTTTCATAAGCTGAGTGCTTGACGAGAGGCCTCTTGGTCCCCGAGAAAGATCGAGGGGCACAAGGAGAAAAAGCCCCAGAGCAAAGAAAGCAGACAATAGAAAGAGATGTATATGGCCTGAGGTTTCTTCTTCCTTAATCCCCTTTTTACTTCCCTGGATGTCAAGTCTAGAAGAGCCTCATTTTAAAAGTGACAGCGGAGGGGTTGGGAAGGTACCCCAACCGTTTAAATTCAATTACAATGCATCACACCCACCTCCTTCTACCCGCACACTCTTTCTTATACTACAGAATCGTTCTTCATCTTTGTAGAACAAAAAGCTGCAGCTGTGGCCAATCAAAAAAAAAAAAAAGTCAATTTTTGTGGATTTTGTCCATAGAAATCCTCAAAAAAACCAAAAACCAAAAATAACACCCAAGTGTCCTAATAAATAGGATGTCTCTTCTGTGCTTAAACACTATTCAGCTGATTGTCAAGCAGCATTCAGATGCTTAGATTAATGTGATGAATATCGATATCAATCTCTGTCACGCATTACAGAGTGCAACCTGTGTGGTGTTAATTTTAGCAACATTAAGCAGGTAATTTTTTTAGGTTTAGGTTTTTTATTTTCAGTATGTGTGTGTTATGGATACATGCAGGATAACATTGGATACAGTTTTCACTCTTAAAGAAAAGAAAAGTATGCTGTTAATAATTTTAAAGTAACAGGTACATTTGGAGTATTTAAAACGAAAGGAGATAAAATATCATAGAGGTGTTTTTCTATTTAAACATACAATGTCATAAGGGAAATGCAGTATCTACACAGTATTATAAAAGGGTTGTGGGCTGTATTATAGAGTATCCTAATGCCCCTATCTTAATGTGAAATTACATAGTTTGAGGTGCAAACTGTAGTACATGCATGTTGTGTTTATTTTTTTTACTAATTGGCATTCCAGGAACTAAATCAGTCTTTCATTTTAAAGACCTGATTTAAATCAAATAAAATCCCCAACTCGTCTTTTTGTTCTATTTGGTTTTAACAAGAAGACTTGTCTTTAATATTTGTTTAGCGTTGATTTTAACCATATGCGTAAAAGTTTACATTGCTGTTAATTAATTGTATGTTGTTAAAAATGAAATAAATTTATGTTATTTACTTTTGTTGACTAGACAAAAAAAACAAAACAAAAAAACAACAACAACAACAACAAAAAAACAACTTCAGGTCTGAAACATATGCCTTATTTGAATGACACAAAGTATCACCACCTTTAAATACAGTAACTTAAGCACATTAATTACAATGTAAAAAGATGCACTTTCAAAAATACCTTAAAGGTACTTTAAATTAAAACATACTATGATCTTATACCACAAAACACAGTGTATTTGTCTCTTTCTTTAAACATACCAAATCGTACTCTGTTGTCCTTCTGTACCTACTGTATGTACTGTATGCATCACAACTTCAAATAAAAAGTTCAGAAAAATTACAGAGAACTTTTGGGACATGACAGCATAAGTTGTAGGATTTGGTATAAAGTGATATAGTGGGAAGTTCCCTATATGTGAGTATAGGGAAATACAACCTAACACATCTAAGATGTGAAGCAGACATTCAGAAATAATCTTCTTGGCAAGTTAAAGACCTCAGCATAAGAATAAAAACAGCACATTTCCTCTTACACTATGCACAGTGGATTGAGAGGATGGGTCTGCTCATTAATGACTGGACTAAGAGGTCTTGGCAGGATAGATAAGGACACAGATAGGTTGCATGTGTCTGCGGTCAGGGAGGTTAAAGTGGTTACACAGACGGGAGTTCATCAACCAAACGTACTCCATCAAAAGACCGGTCATGGTAAGGCTGGTGGGCTTGACACTCAATGGGGAGGGCGCAGAGAGGCGGCCGATAGAATTAGCAACTCATTAGCATCCAGGCCGGGCTTCCATCAGCAGCATGCTCATCTGGGAAAATAAACTGTGGGGAGTCTCTGAAGGAGAGAGGAAATAGGAGTGGAAACAAAATAGGAAAAAGGTCTAGAAATTATCACAGGATTGAAGATTTTATGGGCATGTTTAGAAAGAGTTGGTGGGTGGACAGCAGACCAAAGAAAAATAGATGGCATAATCATATATAAGAGTTTTGGTAGGCAAGAAAGGAAAGGGACATGGGAAGGAGAGAAACAGTGAGGGGCACGACAGTGATAAAGCAGAAATGACTGGAGGGAGGGCAAGCAAGGACAGAGATGAATGGGAGCAGTAGGAGAAAGAGGGAAAGTGACAGAGATGGAGGGAGGGAGTTGAGGGAAGGACATAAAAATTGAGAGAGGGTGCAATGGAGGGGAGACAGATTAAGGTAGAGGACTGCACGGGTCTGTGTCTGGACTTTGGATGACTAAATATGGTGCGGCCCATGTGCCTGCCGGGACTCTTGCAGGGTTTGGTGCTGTCAGGCGCGTCTGACAGACGAGCGTGTAGGTTAAACAGAGACGGTACAGTGACACGGCTGTTTAATTCCACTCAGTCCGCCCTCCGAAACAGTTGCCAGCATGCACGAGAGACTTATCTCACTTCCACTAAAATCAGCCTTTTGGTATTTTTAATCTCTGCTATGACATCAGCACTGAGGTGTAGCAGGTTGACCTTTTAAATACTAAGAATCTGTTTCAGCAAAAAGTTATCTGCCTATAGCTTTGGCCGTGTGTTTAACAAGCTATGACTTCCCCTCAGTGGGAAAGATTTAGCCTCTCATTAAATGTGGTTAAAGTAGCAACAGCTGCAGTCCAGTGTCTCCGTCTTTCTGATTAAGACGACGAATCCCACACAGAAATGTTGGGTTAGCAAGGAGAGGCTGCAGCTTTTAAAGAGAAACAAAAAGACTTGCAGATTTGCTTACATTGTTCTAGTAAAGAGATATTCTTATTGTTGTGGGAGAAAATAAAATCATGCATGCAATATTTTTACATTATGATTCCTGCCAAGAGTTAAATGAGATGATTAAAACCACTCTCGTTCAAGTGAGTGTAGCAGTTATTCTGGCTCTGTTTAAGTGTTGGAAAATCTGGCTGCCACGTTGCCCAAGCTCACTAATTAATTACATTTGAGCGTAAAGATGTTACATTTAACCTGAGGGTAATGCATCGCTTCCCATGTTGATCTCCTATAATAGCTATGCTTTTGCATTTCACGTTAAAGTTGGCCTGCTTGCAAACCTACTGGCATCATTTAAGTGAGAAAAAAAGAAGTAATTTTAAATTGATTAGCTGGTCGAAGTGCGGTGATAAATACAAACTGCACATTAGGCAAATTGTCACAACAACATTCCTCTGTGGCATAACGGCGATGAAAATCCTGAATGTGCAAACATGCTTTGATCCCAAATCCTGGGCTGTGGCAGTGTTAAATTATTTGCTTATTAGTAATATAGACTCCTTTGGAAATGAAAGAATGAAAATAATATGGGGCTTTTAGAGTGAAAGCCCTCGCTCTCCCCCTGCATAGCATGTTTTTCCTCGCCATAAAGATTACTCAGGCCATTTGGCAGTCGGAACAGATCCAGCGGTTTAAAAATCAAACCAGTGAGCCCAATTAAGGAAGGCTGATGATGAGGGGCAATGGGAAAGGAAATTAGATTAAAGAGATGTGGGCGACGAATAGAGGGAGCAGAAATCCAGGAAGACAGACGAGAGAGAAAGGGAGGAAGAGAAGAACAGGAAGATGACAGGGTGGTCTGGTGGTTTCAGCGGAGACATTCCAGGGAACGTTTTTTCAGCTTCTCACTGTCACCGGGAGATCATCCCATGTTGAGTTGTCTCTCTTTCAAGCGTGGGCGCCTCTGTCAGAGTTCACAGATTAGGAAAACAGAAGTGGCTGAGAGGCTTTATTTGGCTTGGGTGAAGAGGAGGGCGCCAGGGGAGGTGAGGATAGGAGAGGGACCAGCTGAGCCACTTTGTATCCCAACTGGGAGCCGTTCCTGCTGTTCTGGAGCGACGGTGTGCTGGCTGCACTCAAAGTGGGACTGAATGGAGGCCTTCTGCGACGACCGTCTCAGATGACAGCAAGCTGGGGTCCAAATTGGTACCCTGCTAACCCTCCAGCCTGCTGTATAGTAATCCCTAATGGGGTTATTACCGGCTGCCCGGAATCATGATGGGATTTTTAATAGGCTAACAACAGGGCTACCTCCATTCTCATTATCAGCATGGAAAGATACACTGTATGAATATTACACCGCTGAACAGGAAAGCAACAGGAATCCCCTACATCTACTCCATCCCCTCAATCTTATCCATTTATCAACTACTAGTGTTCTATTTCAGATATCAGGAAGTAGTCACGTTTCACAAGGTTTATTTTAGCTTTTGTGCCACACCTATAAATTATTAATTGATGCCATTTATGAGAGAATAACATAAATTTATATATTTGAGAAAATTGAACCGGCCATAAATGACAGTTCTGATTAATCATGAATCACATCCCTGTCCACTTTGCACCCACAGACAAACACACACACACACACACACACACACACACACACACACACACACACACACACACACACACACACACACACACCTGAAAGATAAACAAACTTGTCCAGACCAATCAACATGACTGACAGGTTTCAGGTAACAGGGGTCAGATATTATCAGCCTGAATCCCACTTAGTGATGTCCATCTCCACGGTCATGAAGATCCTACCATTGGTGTGTGTGTGTGTGTTTGTGTGTAAGTTTGTGAGGGTGAAGGAAAGTCTGAGTACCTCACTAGCATTCATTAGGCACTGAAGAGGCAGGGGGAGGGCTGAGGAAAGAGGGGTGTAACCTCTCACAGCTGAGGGCGTCATTAGCACGGGGATCACTAACAAATTTTTAAAGCCTGCTTATGTCTCAGGTGGGGTGTGTGTGTGTGTGTGTGTGTGTGTGTGTGTGTGTGTGTGTGTGTGTGTGTGTGTGTGTGTGTGTGTGTGTGTGTCAAGTCCTCCAATTCCAACCTTCAAAACTACTCACCATCACCTTACTGCTATATCAAACTCCTGTAGCTAAACCCGAGTCCATGAGATAGTACTGGCTGTTTCTGGGATAACACAAAGCTGTTTCAAAGTGTCTGTGTGGCTCGAGACGCAGCAGGCAGATCCACAGAAGATCATAAAACATCCAAGTGAAAAAAAAAAAATCTCTACCTTTCTATCTGACAGAAAGAGACACCACAGGGAGAAACCCTGAACGCCCAGCAGAGGAATGCAGCAGCTTCTCTGGCCCAGCCCACACCGCCGGCCCCGAGTCTGACAGCAGTTCTTTAAATCAACAGAACCTGATCCAGAACCAAACAGGAGGAGAGACGACAGACAGAGAAGTTAAGACGGCTCTCACAGACTCTGGACGGGAAGCTGTACTGAGCTGCTGATCCTTGTATTTAGTGGAAAAAGTCCCGAAAATTGCTGATATGACACCTTGTTGTATATTTTTGTCTGTTAAAAAGAGGGTTCAGTGAGGTGAGCCTGCTCTCGGTGAGAAAACGAGAAGCGTAAGGGAGTGGAGAGGACATGAGCAGGCAGAAAGTTTTAGGCATTACTCATGAATTTACACGGGATTAAAGAGGGTTAAACTGTGAGAACAGAAACAGGCAAAAATACACATCAAATGAATACACAAGACCTTTGGTTTTAGTTGTTTTTCCAACTTAGAGCCTCCACACATCCGACTCATGTGTTTTCTGCTTCACTTTTAAATGTGACTGCACGCATAAAAAGCGAGAAGAAAACACAGTAAGTAGGGTGAAGACGAGTATGAGCTCTACAGTTAAAAAAAATATAATAAAATATGATGCATTTAAATAATTTCTTTTTTAGTTTTGACCTTTTTTTAAAAAACATTTAGTCAGTGACACAAACCAAACATCTGTGGTAAAATAACTGATTTTAAGACTAAATCCTACAGAAAGGTCAACCTTAAATCACACTGCAAAATAAAGTATCTGAGTTAGCAGTTACAAACTCTGAATCTATTTGAGTCACAGCCAAATGGATCATGGATCATTCTGAACATAAGTATGTTGTGTTACAGGATGTGGAACTATTTTCTTGAAAAAAAAAAAAAAAAAATCTCCATGAAGCTCCCACGAGGAACAACTTTTCTTCTGGATTTTTAGCTGACAGGGTAAAAGTTTGGAGTACAAGGACCGGCGTCCAAAAATTTATAGCCACCTATGTCACGCTGTGATCTGTTTTCAAATACAAGAAATATTTCCCCTACATGTGCTGTCAAGATGAGCTTGAGAGAGAGAGAGGGCAAAAAAGATGGATCATATCCTCGGACCACGATGGCGGGCAGACTAACAAATTCCTTTAACAGTGGATGAAAGCTATCAAGTAGCAGGATTACAGCGATAATACAGACATGTGAGAAATGCTGAACTTCCCAAAGTGTGGTGTTTTCAGGAAGCGGTTGGACTGGAGGGCTGCCCTACGGAACATTTCCCATGGACATAAGCACAACCCAGACCGCAGCTTGAGAGGCAGGTGAGCCGTTTCTGGGTATGAGAGGAAGTAACTCGTTCAGAGGCATGGAAGGATTTAAGGAGAAGAGAGGTGAACGCTCCTTTAAAACCCTTTGAAGGTTGGCTGCGGTAGGCAGAGCCGCGGTTTTCCCAAAAAGCCCCCCTAACAGGAAAACCGGTCTCTTTTCCTCTTTTTTTTTTTTCCATTGCATAAGAGCAACCTCTACCCCACCACAGCCAAAAGCACGGACCTACTTTGAACTCCAAAGGGGGTGCAAATCGTTTTACTAAGTCCTTGAAATACTCCGAAGGTTGCGTTCATTGACAAACAAGTCATATTTACAAGACACTTTATCGGATGCCAAAGCTTGTGACTCAGACAAGCCTGCTTCACCTCTTCCTGTTCTTTCCTCTCCATCTTTATTCATTCTCCCTTGAGGGCGATGTTACTACACCCCAGGGGGATTTCTGTAGGGGAGTTGCCCACAGGTCAGAGGTCAGAGTGTAAAGGCACTAACACTTTTCCATCACTATGGATCTGTCTGTGTGTATCCAAGTCAGATAAGTATACTGATAGGAAATAAGTGGGGCCAGATATACGCATGTGGACCTCACACACACACACGCATGTATACACATCACTCTGCATCTGGATGAAATCTGCAGCTAGCAAACGCAGGCCTAGCGTTTGCTGGTGCAGGAAGTGGTGGGATAAAATGTGAATCTCTGCCTCTGGGTCCTCTTCCCACAGCGAGAGCCATCTTGGGTATCACGCTGATGAATGATGGGTATTTTAACAGAGAAGGTAAGCAAGTACAAACACCTAATTTGTCACTCAGAGAGATATCACACAGGCAATTTAGTCAGCAGTCAAGATAGTATTTCAACTTCATTCTCACCTCTGAAGTGGAGACAGATGCTGCCTGAGTGAGTGCATGTAATGTGGGTACTCTGTCACACCACATTCAGCTCATGGGCTGCATATAAATGCAAGGTTGGAAACAGAATATATCAATTCTTCATGGATTGAAATCAAACTCTAATTCTTGGATCTTGTGTTTTATCCCTGTAGCTACCAGAATCTGATATGATAGCTCCTGACAAACAGCTGCATCGCGAGTTCAATGATAGCCTCTCCCACAGGCTCGTGGTTGAGCAGACCTTATTAATTAATCAGCCTGCACAGTTTATTCGAATGCTTGACTCAAGGGGGATGAAGTTACACACAGTAAAAACAGAGCAGTGTATGCGACTAGGAGAAACAGATATAGCATTACTTTCCCGCTCTCGTCAAACTGCTGAAGCCACAGAAGGAAAAATATAGTGGAAGTGTTGACTTTACTCGCTCAGGTGGACGGAGCCAAGATCCAGAGGAATCCTGCTCTTCAAGGCAGAAGAAAACAGTCTGCTTATGTTACTGCAGCTTTAACCATCCCCATCCAGCCGCACTTTAAGGAGTTAATAAAAATCTGTACTATGTTGCTCTGGATTAGCCTCCACATCATGTGCCTTCAGCTGCTCCTGGCTCTACCTCCCTCGCTCTGTCACTGATGGAAGCAGGGTGTGATGCAATTAAATAATGATGATTAATTTGCAAAAACAGGGAAGCGGTGGCTGCACTCCAGATGAACAGCCCTTCGCTTCAGATGCATTCAACTCCCCCTGCTTTCCTCTGGCTTCAACTTGACATTTCACATTCTTTCTGACCTTGGCGAGCGGCAAGGTTTCAGAGGCCCTCATCGTGCACCGATTCCAGGCGTTTGCGGCGAGAGTGAGAAGTAGGTCAAGTGGCTGACACTGTTTCAGAGCGCAATAGGGGGATACTTTAAGTCTATTGAAGCAGTTAAGATAAGCCATCGGTATGGGATTCTCGCTTTCGCTTCCAGGCTTGTACCTGCTTGAGAGCAGAGAAGTGGATGAGCTCAGGGAGGGTGAACCTCATCAGTATTGTAAAGGCTATTGTTTCCCCATCACACCCTGACAGGAAGTGTACTTAAGTGCAAAAATGTATTATCATCATTTGCTATTTAGAGTTTAGAGCACAGGTATCAAATTAATTTTACATCATGGACCACATACACGTTACTTTGATCTTATGTGGGCCGTACCAGTGAAACTCCCCTTTCTGTCAGTGTGCAGAAGCTTAACTACACATTTAAACCCAGAGAGATTTTAATATAAAAAAAAGAAAGTCAAATTTCAACAGCATTTCTAAATGATAAAGAAATGCTGCTGCAGTAAATGTATGAAATCTGTCAGCACAACTCTTTGGGCTTAAATTCTGTGTAGCAGTAATGTTTAAAATGATAGAAATCTATTATTTATTTACTTTGGGGTAGTATGAATGGTAATGGGGAAGGTCTGGATCGGTAGAAAAAAAAAAGGCTTCAAAACTAGTAAAAGGACGGTTAAAAGTCATATATTCATGTCCTCCTACACATTTTCCATCAAGTGGGCCGGATTGGAGTCTTGGGCGGCCGATTCTTGCCCCTGGGACTTATGTTTGCCAACCCTGATTTAGACAGATTTTCCTGACCTTTAATAATAAAGACAAGTTATTTCTCCAAACGAGCTACTGTGTCTTAATTTAAACATTTTTAATGCATAAATGTCCCTTTTTTTTAAACCACAAGTTGCACGTGGTGGCGTCGAACGGAAAAGGGGGTAATATTAGAAGCGGCCAATGCACCGATTACGCGCCAGTGCCCGAACCTGGAAGCTGTTGCATGCAAGCTGGCTTTCATATAGCTCGCCTCTGGCACCTCGGCACGGGCTGACATTGTAGTTTTGCCTTTGCGGCGACACGTGAGCCAGGTGTAAACCGTGGAGGCTGACACCTGTTCGTGATGTCCGCCGCTCTGATCCAGCGCGTCCCGGTGATTCAGCAACCCGAAACTTACACGACCTCAGTCTGTAATGCGGTAATAACAGTCATTGCCTGCGTTTAAAACAAATAGCAGGTTTGGACAGCCCGTCACAGCGAGCGCCGTGAGTCACTTACTAGGAAAATAAGCGGTGCGTAAAATTGAGATCTGCTCTCCGCAGAGACGCGCACACGCCGGGTGTGTGGAACAAACAGGCACGGTGAGCCGCAAATTATAAACTTACCCCAGTGTCACAAGACGGTAGAGCCGCTGACTTCGTACTTTTAAAAGACGTCCTACAAGCGAGAGATCCACCTTAGCATCAAGCTTCGTGCTCCGTCAAAAACCGTCCTCTCCAAACGAGGGGGAAAAAGTGAGGCGTACTTTCTCACGTTCGTCTCCTTTTAAAAAAATAGTTAAGCACAAGTGAGAAGATAGCGGCGGGAGGAGAGATGAACCACCGAACTCATCCCCGTCCGAAGCTCAGAGCGACTGAAGAGCGTCCAGTACATCCATATGTAAAGAGAGCCCGGGTTAGGCTACTCCCCGTTAAAATCAAACCCAGATTTCCCCCAAAACCAAGAGAGAAAGAGCGCACCCGAGAGAGAGTGTGGGTGTGAGAGAGTGTGGGTGTGTGTGTGTGTGAGAGAGAGATCTGCATGTCCAATAGCGCACAGTATTTGGATAACTTAAGTTTCATTTTTCCTGTAATTTGAAGAGGCGCCCAATTAATAAAAGAAATAAATATGCGCGAAGAAAAACACTACTTATATCATTTGATTTCATTCCACGGTCTCACTTTTACAACAAATACATCTCCGCCACTTTACGGACCGGCAGTTACTCTGCTGCCTGCTCTAAACGCTACGTGCTGGGCTGTGTTCACAGGCAGCCATATGGAGGTCGTAATGAGCGCACAACGCTGAACTTGTTGAAACAGAGTCAGGGGTTAGCGGGGGCCAAACAAACAAGAGGCAGATGCAGAATGTTGTGATTTATTAATCCCAATAATAGTCCAGCACACGCGGGATTTATTTGCGTCGAGGCACCGACTTTCCCTCCCTTTATTAATAATAGTAACATGGAATCAAACACACCAGGACTGCCTGTTGTGCGCTTGTGTAAAAAGAGGCTCGTTCTGGCAGAGAAAATGTGGACCTGCGCCCTCGGCTATGACAGCATCGCATTAACTCATTAACTGCCTTCATGTGACTTTAAAGAGCATGCGGTCTGTCGTGATGAGTGCTGGCAATTTTATACAGCCCGTCTGGGGAGCGCGTGCCCAAAGGCGCACTGGGGGAGCAAATGGATTTTCGGGGATTTGAGAATTAAAGCAGGTATCGCAGACGTAGGTAACGGCAATTAGAGCCGCTGACGTTTATCACAAAACGGCCAAATAAAATAGGCCGTGTCGGGACTTCTGGGCAGAGTTCATTTAATGTAAGCACAGAGGATAACTTGTCACACGTGTAAAACCAGCCCGGCAGAACCGCGAGGACGGGCCGCAGTTCACTTCATAATTCCAGGTAATTTATAGGCGACAGCTCGCGTGTTGCTCTACGTGTTATTGCAGGTGCAGCCTGCCTACCGGTGGGTAGGCCGGTCATTAGTATCGCGGTCGATCAAATCCCGAGAACCTCCTGGCCCGCTGTAAGCTGATCAACATTCCTCCTGTAGGCGATTTACTGTACCATCCTCTGGGGGGAACAGCACAGCACGGCATGGCCCAGCTTGGCCTGGCCCGGGCCCGGAACCGCGCTGCCTTCATCCAGTAATTCATCTCAAACAAAGACCGTTCAAACACGAATTCAAAGCCGCGGATAATTAAAATTAATAGGCATTAACCCCCAACCCCGTGCGCGTGCGTTACGCCCACGGAGCACACCTGCAGCCAATACTAATTAACAGTATCAGTGAACACAATGAGACACGGAGAGGGGGGAAAAGGAAATTACTCAAATCAGTTAATGGATTTAAACACAAAGGGGAAAACGGCTCAGAAAGTGGGCTAAAATTAATGAAGTCTGATGAAAGTAAGTGACGAGCAAGGGCAAGCATACAGGGGAGCCGTGCAGTGGAGACAGAGTATTGGGATTTTTCGATTTGCTTCCAGAAAACTTAAAACACAAAGGTTTATCTGACTCCTTTTGTTCAGCGATTAATACTTTATTTATTTATATAAGAGCAATTTAGTTCTTAATCTCAGGTGGTTTGTCTCCACTCTTTCCAAATAACTCTCCAAGAGTTAAGCTTCTAAATGGGATCTTGTAGTAAATCTTAATATTTCGGATGCATTTCTATCCCAGTCTTATTAAAATCTCTCAGATTTGCAGATTGAACATCGATACAGGCGCTTCAAATATTCTCCAGTGTTTTGAATTAAAATACTTGAGTTTAGTGCTAAACGTTTGAGAAAGTAGGGCAGCAAATGGAGAGAAGCTGACACAAACACAGCAGGCCTTCATCAATTGTTCCAACAAACTGTCCGAAACACAAAATACTCAAACTCTTTGGTTTGTTAAAAGGAGGAAAAAACAAGTAGGGGCATTTTGCTGCCAGCGTTTCTGTTTACAGGGGGGCAGTGCAGTCCATGTTCACGCGTTTTATTTGAGAGAGGGGACAATTTTGACGCATTCCTGTGAAATAAAGGAGCTCCACCATCCAGCCAGTAATCTAGGTAGATTATCTCTGCAGTTACAAGTGGGAGAGGCTGGACTGCGTTAAAGACAGAATGAAAGAAAGCAAGACTAACAACAGGCAACACACTCACTTGCTGTCAGATGGGATTCAAGCGGGGAGCTCTCCTCGGTCCTTTAGTTGTTGCACTTGGATCAGTCTGCTGATTGTGTCTGCAAAACAACCCCGTCTGTCTGTTCCAAGCCCGGGGGCTCTCGGCACTAGGTTCCCTGTGGCGGACACCCTGGAGAAAATGTCAGCCTCCGACTGTTTCCTCGCTTCATTTTTTGGCACCCCTGCTGTCGGGCGCAAGGAGAGATGCTTACCTTATCCGGAGGGGAAACCCCCAATTGGCTTTCAGTGGAGACGGGCCTCCCTCTTGTGGCGAATACCGTGTAATACTCAGTCAGACTAATAACCTGTGCCTTTAAAAAAAAAAGAAAAAATCTGCCACATGCCCCAAAGTACATAAACGCAACTCACACTTAGGTGGCGCTATAGTACTGAACATTTTCCTTATCACGGGGTTCTAGTGGCGGCTCTGCATTACCTCAGAGCAAGATAACGTGAAAATGATACCCAGTCATGTCACTAATTAAGCTGGTGAGTTGAGTGGATTTCCACCAGGTGCACCTTTGTTGACGTTTTATCAGCCTCAGATTTTCTGAGACAAAAAAAGATTCGTGGTTGTTTGTATGGCAGTAAGCAAGAGAGCATTTCCACGATATAACTGGATCAGCTGGCGTGGCCACCGTGGAGACATGTATGTCTTAGCATGAAAACAAGTGTTACTGTTAAGATTAGGGCTGTTTCGTTCAGTTACCCAAGTAAGCAGCGTTATATATGAACTAACACAGTACCGATCATCATTATTAACGTTTTTGACTAATCAAACAGATTTCAGCGTGATGACACATTTTTTTTAAGTCTGTAGCTCACAGCTGAAATAAAGTAAAATACACAAAGAAAAAATACTATCATTTCATGTCGGGATTTCTTTGTGCTGTGTTATAGGTTCAGATAAGTTGTTGAATTAAACAGATCACTTTGCCATATTGTTTGGATTATTTGTTTTTCATTTACTGCTTTTCCCATCTTTTTTTCACTATAGCTACACAAGGAAACTCACCAGAATGTAATGAAATCTTCTGTTGGCACTTAATCACAGATAAAGTCACTCTGTTAGCACTGACTGATTTGCAAAGTCTTATTTTTTAATCCTTGAGGTGAGCGTTCTCACTGTTAGTTTTTAAAAGCAGACGTCATGAGCACAGAGGGGGACTCTTTGCTCATACTATAAGTTATCAATCACAAGTTAGGCCCCACAAAGCTTTATCATTCTGCTGGATACACAAGAAGATGACAATTTATAAAAATGAACATAACGTTGCATTTATTAATACTTTAAATTTAAATATAGGACATAGGAAACTGTTTACTAAGGACCCGAGGAGTTCACCCCTGCTGGCCTATAGAAGAAAATGTGGGCGTAAGAAACTTTTTAACATGCAGAACTTATGAGCTCTCGCTGACATTTTAATATCTGTAGAACCCACAGACTGTATTTTAAAGATGCGCAAAGGCACTTTGATGTCACCCACTCAATTTTTTGCTGATATTTTGAAACCCTCAGTTT